GAAAAAGCCTTCCCCTAGAGTCGGCACCCTGAATTCAAACTTCTAGCCTCCTAAACTGTGAGAAAATAATTTTCTGTTTGTTAAAGCCACCCATTTGTGGTATTTCTGTTATAGCAGCATTAGTTACCTAAACATTCGTGTGCAGGTTTTTGTGTGGACAGAAGTTTTCAACTCACTTGGTAGGATACCTAGGAGTACAATTGATGGCTCATATTTAGCTTTGTGAGAAACTGCCAGACTGTCTTCCTTTGTTGCTGTACCATTTTACCTTCCCACCAGGAATGATTGAGAGCTCTTGTTGCTCCATGTCCTCATCAGCATTTGGTATTGTCAGTTTTTTAGATTTTAGCCATTCTATACAGCCTAGAAAACCCTATGTGGCAGTTCTGCCCTGTCACATGGGGTCGCTATGAGTTGAAAGTCTGCTTGATGGCAGTTAACAACAACAACAGTTGTGTGGGGGGTATTGGCGGCTAACAACAGCAGTGAGTGTGTAGTGGTATCTCGTTTTAATTCACAATTTCCTGATGACGTGTGATGTTGAATATCTTTTCATTTGCTTATTTGTCACCTGTATTTCTTCTTTGGTGAGGTGTCTGTTTAGATATTTTGCCCATTTTTTAATTGGGTTGGTTGTTTTCTTATTGTTGAGTATTAAGAGTTCTTTGTATATTTTGGATACAAGTCCTTTATCAGATATGTGTTTTTCACATATTTTCTCCTAGTCTGTGGCTTGTTTTTTCGTTCTCTGAACGGTATCTTTTGCAGAGCAGAAGTTTTTAATTTTAATAAAGTCCAATGTATCAAATTTTTTCTTTCATGGATTGTGCTTTTAGTATTGTATCTAAAAATTCATCACCAAACTGAAGTTCAACTATATTTTCTCCTGTTATCTTCTAGAAGTTTTAGAGTTTTGCATTTTACATTTAGATCTATGATCCATTTTGAGTTAATTTTTGTGAAAGGTTTAGATCTGTGTCTAGAGTTTTTTTTTTTTGCATGTGGATGTCCATTTGTTCCAGTACCACTTGTTGACAAGACTGTCCTTCTCCACTGAATTGCCTTTCCTCGTTTGTCAAAGATCAGTTGCTCTATTTGTGTGGGTCTATTTCTGGGCTCTCCATTCTGCCCCATCGATCTTTTTGTCTGTCCTTTTACTAATACCACACTGTCTTGATTTCTGCAGCATTGCCATAAGTCTTTAAGTCAGGTGGTGTCAAGCCTGTATTTTGCTCTTCTTGTTGATGTTGTGTTGGCTATCTGGATCTTTTACCTTTCATGTAAACTTTATGCAAAGTCCAAGAGTCCCCAAGACCACCTTCACTTTTGATGCCAACTGCAAGTTTGAGGGTTCCCAAGATCCCCCTCAGGTTTGGTAATTCACTAGAAGGACTCAGAAGAGCATTGTACTCATGGTTCTGGTTTACTGCAGTAATAAGATATAGATTAAAATCAACAAAGGGAAGAGGCGCATACGGCAGGGTACAGAAAAGTTCCAAGCACGGGCTTCCAGTTGTCCTCTCCCAGTGGAGTTGTGCAAATTACGCCTGTTTCTCGCAGCAGCAGTGTGTGACAACGCACACAGAGTATTGCCAACCAAGGAAGCTCACTTGAGCCCTTGTGTCCGGTTTTTTATTGGGATCAAGTCACATAGACATAGTTGACTGTTTATGTGGTGACCTTAGTCTCCAGCCCCTCCAGAGGTTCAGCTGATACCGATCAAGGTCCCCACCATAAATCACACTGTTAGCATGGACTATCTGGCATGGCCTGAGATGCCCAGGTAAACAGAGATACTCTGATCAGGTAGGTCATTCCAAGGGCTGACAAGTTACCTCCTAGGACCTAAGGACAAAGGCCAGACCTCTCTTTGGTCAAGGTTAATCCTTTACTAAGGAGCCCTGGTAGCGCAATGGTTAAGAGCTTGGCTGCTAAACAGAAGGTCAGAGGTTCGAATGTGCTCAGCAGCTCCTCAGGAGAAAAGATTTGGCAGTCTGCTCCCATAAAGACTATAGCCTAGGAAACCCTATGGGGCATTTCTACTGTGTCCTATAGAATACTCTGAGTTAGAATTGACTTGACACACAACAATAATAATCCTTTATTGCGTGCTTTAGAATTAGTTTGTCAACATCCACAAAATAGCTTGCTGGGATTTTGATTGGAATTGCATTGAATCGGTAGATCGAGTTGGGAAGACCTGCATTCCTAACAGTATTGAGTCTTCTTATCCATGAATATGATTGTGCCTCCAATTACCGTATTTTTACTCAAATAACAGATGCCTTGTATCTTTGCCAACTGTGCCCTCCCCTTGTGAGGTATTTTCGTAAGCGTGCTATGCTAATTTTTTTACAGCAACATTGGTGCTTATGAAAATACCTTGAGGAGGTAGGGCACAGTTAGCAAACAAACATAGAAGGTGTGTTATTTGCATAAAAATACAGTATTTAGATCATCTTTGATTTTCTTTCATCGGAGTTTTGTAATTTTCCTATGATCTCTTAAATATATTTTTAATATTGTGCTTTAAGTGAAAGTTTACAATTCAAGTTAGTTTCTCATATAAAAATTTATACACACATTGTTATGTAACCGTAGTTGCTCTCCCTATACTGTGACAGCACCTTCCTCCTTTCCACCCCGGATTTCCAGTGTCCATTCAACCAACTCCTGACCCTCTCTGCCTTCTCATCTTGCCTCTGGACAGGAGCTGCCCATTTAGTCTCATGTATTTACTTGAGCTAAAAAGCACTCTCTTCACGAATATCTTTTTATGTCCCATAGTCCAGTCTAATCTTTGTCTGAAGGGTTGGCCTCAGGAATGGTTTTAGTTTGGGGCTAACAGAGTCCAGGAGCCCAGTTTTCCAGGGTCCCACCAGTCTCAGTCAAACCATTAAGTCTGGTCTTTTTACTAGAATTTGAGTTCTGCACCCTTCTTTTCTCGTACTCGTTCAAAGACTCTCTGTTGTGTTCCCTGTCAAGAGCTCCTAAATATTTTGTTAGGGTTATACCTAAGAATATATAGGGAGCCCTGGTGGCACAAACAGTTAAGCACTCAACTGTAACCGAAAAGGTGGTGCTTCAAACCCACCCAGCGGCTCTTCCAGAGAAGGATGTGGCGTTCTGCATCTGTAAAGATTACAGCCAAGAAAACCCTATGGGACAATTCCACTCTGTCACATGAGTTGAAATCAACTGGATGGCACCCAACAACAGCAATACCTAAGTATATTGTTTCTTTGGTGCTAATGTAAGTGGTATTGTGTTTTTAATTTCAAAACTCCATTGTTCATTGTAGGTTCATTGATTTTCAAACTCTGAAAGGAATACGTGCTTATGGAAACAAAGTGAAACTGTACTAAGATGTATGAAGGAAAAGCTAATTATCCCCCGCCCCCCACCTCCTCCTGGTAACCAGCATCAACAGACTGGTCTGTGCTGGCTCAGACTTTCTCCTTGTTCAGCAAACTTGCAAAACCTACAGGAACATGGTCACACAAATAGCGTTTTTTGTTTATTTTTACCAGAGTGGAGTCATACCACACCATGTTATTCTGCAAGTCCCTTTTAGCACACTTAACAGTCTATCGTGGCTGAGCCTGTAAACAGTCAACAAACACAGATTCTGCCCTATCTCTGCCCCAGTTTTTTTTTTTTTTTAATTTTATGTATTTTTGGTGAAAGTACACACAGCAAAACAGGTTCCTGTTCAACAATTTCTACGTATTTCAATGGCGTTTGGTTACATTCTTCACATTGTGCCAACATTCTCATTATTTCCCTTCTCGTTGTTTCACTCCGATTAGCTCAGTGTCACAGCCCTGCAGCCTCCCCATCGATGCTTTAGAGGAACTCGTCCATTTGGTCTCATATGGATAATTTTTTAAAAGAACACAGTACACAAGAGTGACATTCTTTACTTTTTGAGCTAACCTACTATTTAGTTAAAAGGTGACTTCTGGGGATAGTTTCAGTTCAAGGTTAAGAGAGTATCTCAGGGCAATAGACTTGGCGCTTCTTCCAGTCTCAGTGGGCCCAGTAAATCTGGATTCTTTGAGAATTTAAAGTTCTATTCCACATTTTTCTCCCTTTCTATCAGGATCTATCTATTGTGACCCTGATCAGAACGTTTGGTAGTGGTAGCCCCTGCCCCGGTTCTTATGCATGTACATATGTACACACAACACCACAGTCTGCACACATACACCATACACGTGGACACACACACACAAACACAACGTCACGTAAATAAGGTCCTATACAAGGTATCCAAGGTCCCTGGGTGCCACATATGGGTTGCGCTCGACCACTAAAGATTGGCACTTCAAACCCACCCATGGCTCTGCGGAAGAAAGGCCTGGTGATCTGCTTCCATAAATATTACAACCAAGTAAACCCTATAGTGCAGTTCTACTCTGTAACACATGGGTTTGCCATGAGTCAGAATCAACTTGACAGCAACAGGTTTTGCTTTTTTTTATGCAAGCTGTGGGCATTTCATTTTAGAACACACTTTCTTTCTTGTATGTTCCCATCCCCCGCGTTGGGTAATGTGTCAGCCAGTGTGTGTTGAGTGCACGGGTAGGATGTGTAAGCTCGTCTTCCCTGGTTAGATGTGAAGGTCTTTGGGTGCAGAAATGACATTGTCGTGTGAACACCCCCTGGCCAGGCCTAGCATAGGGCCGGACACACATGTGACCTTGGTTCTGGGCCTCCGTTTCTCTGTACGGTGGTCGCTGGTCCAGCACTGCCTCCCGAGGTCATTGGGAAGACACGGTGAGCTTACGCTCAGGAAGCATCAGATGTTGTTGCTGAGTTCTCTTTTCTGGGTGACCAGGGCGGGAAACGGGACTTACCTCTTGTAGTGAGGAGAAGGATCCAGGGCGGGTGGGGTCCCCTGGTGTGTGAGGCCATCACGGTGTGCTGGGGATTGGGCTGGCTCCCCAGGAACACTGACCACACTAAGCCCGCTCTGTCCCTCCTGTGCTCTTTTCCAGGACAAGCAGCTGCGGGTCTTCGACCCCAGAGCACAGGCCGAGGCCTCGCAGGTGAGTTTGCACGGACACGCTGAAGACCCAGAGGGCTCACTAGATGGAGGTGAGGCAAGCTCAGCGCTTGCAGATGTGTTCCCTCTCAGACACGTGCCGCCCCACCCCCAGGCGCCTGTGGTGAGGCCCAGGTGGGCGCGTTGGGGACGCCCGGGAGTCTGGCTCCCGCTGCTGGAAGCCATTTCTGGAAAACGGGCTCTGGGTCCGGGAAGGGCCGGGCCCAGATCACAAGGTGGGGCACAGCCAGGCTGCCCACAGGCCACCGGTGGAGGCGTCCTGTGGCTTTGGGAAGCTAATTTCAGATTCCAACTTCCTTCCTCCCTGGAGACCCTCGCCCCCCGCCCTCCTCCCTGGCATTATTGGTATAGGCCAGCCATGGGGGACCAAAAGGACACGCCATAACTCAGGGCCTCTGCCTGCTGCCCCCCGCATCCCCCACTCTGCCTCTGTGATGCAGGGTCTCTGTGCTGTACTGGGTGGGGCCTGCTGATCTCAAGAGGGTGTGTCTGGGTATGTGCACATCGGGTGTGTGTGCACATCGGGTGTGCACATCGGGTGTGTGTGCACATAGGGGTGTGTGCGCATCAGGTGTGTGTGCACATTTGGTGTGTGCACATTGTGCTTGCTCTGCTTGTGTGTGTGGCCGTTGAGTTCCCAGCAGGGAAGCCTGTGTCATGCCTCAGGCATCAAGCCTCCAGGGAATCATTCATTTACTGGACAGAGGTGTCCTGGGAGCAGCTCAGTGCCAGGCACTGGGTATTCTGTGATGAATGAGACAGAGACAGAGGCCATGCCGCGGAGCAAGTGCTGGGGGTGCTGCTCTGGACCGGGAGTCCCTGCGTGGTGCAAATGGTTAATGCACTTGGCTGCTAACTGAAAGGCGCCTCTGATGAAAGGCCTGGTGATATTCTGAAAAAAACCCTATGGAGCATAGTTCTACTGTGACTCCCGTGGGGTCACCATGAGTTGGAGTCAACTCTGTGGCAACTGGTGGCTCTGAATGGGGTGACTGAGTGCTTCCCTGAGGAGCTACCCTTGGAGCTGAGCCTGGATATAGCACAAAGGAGATGCATAGATGGCCCGAGGGGGGACATGTGGCTGGAGTGTGCGAGGGAGGGATGTGGAGGGAGGAGACTGGCCAGGGATGTGGAGGGAGGAGATTGGCCTTTGTGAACGGCCTGTCCCTCTGGCTGTTTTGAGAGAGATTCTTCCTCTTTTTTAATGTGGTGAAATATTTATAACGTAAAATTTGCCTTTTTAATTTAAGAGACTTCTAAGCAGGAAGTTGAATGAGCAGATTTCCATTTTTAGAAAGTTCTTACTAGAAGCTGTGGAACGTTTTTCCCCAAGAAGGGTGAAGTTGAGGGCTTCCCTGGGAGTGGCCAGGCCTGTCACAGATGCCCCTTTCCCAATTCTCAGACTTGTTCCCCACTCGGGTCGGGGTGAACAGCCAGCTAACCCCAGCCTGGGAGCCACTGTACCCTCCTACATGCACACACGCACACAAAATCCTGTTCATGTAGCAAATCACAACTGTTTGGCCTAGAAAGTCAGTGCCATTTCTTTTTTCTTTTAATTTGATTGGGCTTTAGGTGAAAGTTTACAGTGCAAATCAATTTCTCATTCAAAAATTTATACACAAATTGTTTCGTGACATTGGCTGCAATCCCCACAATGTGTCACCACTCTCCCCCTTTCCCTTTACACCCCAGGTTCTCCATGTCCATTTGTCCAGGTTTCCTGTCCCTTCCTGCCGTCTCGTCCATGCTTTTGGGCAAGTGCTGCGCATTCGGGCTTTTTTTTTTTCATACAAAAATCTGTACATACATTGTTATGTGACCCTAACTGCTGTCCCCATACTGTGACAGTACACAACTCCTTTCCACCTCTGATTCCCCATGTCCATTCAACCAGCTCCTAACCCTCTCTGCCTTCTCATCTCACCTCCGGACAGAAGCTGCCCGTTTAGTCTCTTGTATCTACTTGAGCTAAGAGGCACACTCCTCACGAGTATCACTTTATGTCCCACAGTCCAGTCCAATCCCTGTCTGAAGAGTTGGCCTTGGAAATTGTTTTAGTTTGGGCTGATAGAGAATCCAGGGGCCACGCTCTCCGGGGTTCCTCCAGTCTCAGACCATTAAGTCTGGTCTTTTTACTAGAATTTGAGTTCTGTACCCCCCCGTCTCCTGCTCCATCAAGGACCTTCTGTTGTGTTCCCTGTCAGGGCGATCTTTGGTGGTACCTGGGCACCATCTAGTTCTTCTGGTCCCAGGCTGATGAAGTCTCTGGTTTATGTGGCCCTTTCTGTCTCTTGGGCTAATGCTTTCCTTGTGTCTTTGGTGTTCATCATTCTCCTTTACTCCAGGTGGTTGGGACCAATTGATACATCTTAGATGGCCGTTTGCAAGATTTTAAGACCCCAGACGCCACTCACCAAAGTAGGATGTAGACCATTCAGCGCCATTTCTGACAGGCCCACCTGACGGTGGGAGGAGCCGGGCAGACACACCCTGGGTGCAGTTGCTGGAGGGTTGGCTGAGCTCTGGGCCCTTCTGCCCCTATAGCTGGTGGGGTGGTAGCTGTTCCCATCTCACAATGGTGTGGGTGTGAGCAGAAGCTGGAACTCAGGAGCTTTCTTTGGCTAACCTCCAAGCCTTTGTGCAGAAAGGGGGTCCCGGCTTCAACCTGAAGGAGGGGGATTGAGGCCCCACCCCCACCAGCTTTCTCAGGTTCCCTCTCCCACCCAGGGCCCCCGAGGGCACTGTGGGCACCCCCATTCCTGCCCCAGCTGGGCATCGCATTTAGCCATCTCCCCAGGCCTATTCCTCCTTTCTTCCGCCCTCCTCCTCCTTCCACCCTTCCTCCTCCAGAAAGGGGCAGTGACTGATGCCGCTGAGGTGGAGACTAGTGGCCGCTGTCCAGGGGGCTCCTGGGAGGGGGCAGATCTGGCTCTGCAGCGAGCCCCCCCGCAAAGAGCTCTAGGCCATAAAGACCTGGGAAGCGTGGGGGTGGCTCTGCGCCCCCGCTCCCAGTTGTTGGGACGGTGCCTGCGCGGGGGCGGGGGCTGCAGAGCCTGGAAAGCCGCCCTCCACCCGCCGCCCTGCCCCCACTTCCGCCCAGGGCATCTGGCCCACACCTGGCTTCTATTAGGAAAACCACTGCTGGCGGCCAGGGTCGGTGTGAGCCGAGGGGCCAGCTCAGGGGAGCCCTGTGGGAGCGCCTGCTCGTGAGACCCTCTTTCCCAGCTAGCGGGGGCCTTTGGGGCTGCCACAGACTTGGGGTGGGGTGCTCAGGGACGGGGCACCGGTCTCTGTCCTCCCCTTGGGGCCGTGGGGTCCTGAGTCTCACCTTGCCTGTCAGGAACCTGAAGACAGGGCAGGGGTGGGGGTGCGGGTCAGAGAGGCCTCTGTCCACTGCTGCCTTGGGGCCTTGCCTCTGGTACTGGAGCCTGGAGGGGGAGATTTGGGTGGGTCCCTGCTGTTCACCCCCTACTTTTTGTAAACGTACATTTATGCACGTTCACCGTGGCCCTGCCGCATCTGGCTCTGGCCAGCCTGACTCCAGAGCCCCTGGCCCCTCAGCTGCCCATCTCCAGGCCAGGCCGGCAGAGATCCTCAGTGTACGAGGTGGAAGCAGCCCTTCCATCCTCAGGACCCCTCCTGTTGGGAACAGGACGGGGCCTGGGATGAGCCGTCCCAGCTCGAGGGGGCCTGGCTCCCTTCTGCCTTCCACCCACCCCCAGAGAAGTCAGGCCAGGCCTGGGCAGGAGCGTCTGGGCCCGGGACAGGGCCTGGCTGAGAGTGGAGTGGGCGGTGGGGGGTTTTACCATTTTGGAGGAGGTCCCTGGGGAAGAAGGAGCCCCTTGCCTTGCAGTCGCCCTGCCCCACAGGAAGCGTTGCCATGGGGATGGAGCGAGGTTGCAGTGCTGGAATGCTGGGTATGCACCTCAAGGGGGTGGCTGGGCGGCTCCGCTGGCCACGGCCCTCCTGGTCTCTCACGGCCAGGTATCGGGGAGACCTGAGGGGCCAGCAAAACCTTTGTGGGACTCCTCCATGAGCAGGACACCCTCTGCTACTGTTGGGGCAGTGGTGTCCCCCTAACAGGACCTGTGCCCCCCTTCCCCTCAGAGAGGGAGACCCTGGGGCCAGGTCTTTGGACTCTAGAGTACCCTGTGCCCCACCCCACCCCCACCTCTCTGACAGGACTGGGCCTCGGGATGCCTGGGTCCAGTGGCAGCCTTGAGAATGGAGGCTCTGAGGGCCTGTGGTCAGGAATGAAGAACTTTCCATTTTTGAAACTGAAAACCACTCCAGAGATCTGATGACAGAGGTGGCATTCCTCTCTGGCCCAAGGGGTTCCTGTGGCCCTGGGGGCAAACCAAGCTGTGCCTACAGCGCGGAGCATTGGACCACAGCGGGAGCCTCTACCTTCTCTCAACCTCCCCATGCCCTCCCTGCCCTCGGGTCCTGGAAGGTGGGAAGGTGGGTGAGAGCTAGGAGACCAGGACCAGGCCCTGCCACCCACACTGCCCTGCCTGCTCTGCCCAGTCTGTGCCTCTTGTCCTGGGTCAGCCTGGGCTCTTGCCCCCAGTGTGAGCTGTCCCTGGGGTGTGTGTGAGAGAGAGACACACACACACCTTGGTTCCCCATTGTCCATCTCTGTTGCCTTCTCCCCACCTGACTTTGTGCAAGTTGTCACCTCTCTGAGCTTCTGGTTCTTCTTGTGCAGATTGAGAATGACAACAGCCTGGGGGCTCAGGAGGCCTCCAGCTGTCTTTAGTTTTTTTTAATTTTATTATTGAAGCATGACGTGTGTCTTAGTCATCTAGTGCTGCTATAACAGAAATACCACAAGTGGATGGGTTTAACGAAGAGAAATTTATCTCCTCACAGTCAAAGTAGGCTAAAAGTCCAAATTCAGGGCATCAGCTCCAGGGGAAGGCTTTCTCTCTCTGTTGGCCTTCTCATCAGTGTTCCCCCAGACTAGGAGCTTCTCTGCGCAGGGACCCCGGTCCAAAGGACACGCTCTGCTCCCGGCACTGCTTTCTTGATGGTATGAGCTCCCCCTGTCTCACTGCTCACTTCTGTCTTTTATATCTCAAGAGATTGCCTCAGGACACAATCCAGTCTTGTAGATGAAGTCCTGCCTTACTAACACAACTGCCACCCATCCTCCCTCATTAACATCATAGAAGCAGGTTTACAACATACAGTAAAATCACACAGTACCAGGAATCATGGCCTAGCCAAATTGATACACACATTTTTGGGGGGACATAATTCAAACCATGACAACGTGCATATATTGTTGTTGTGTGCAGTCAAGTCGATTCCAACTCATAGCAACCCCATGTGAGAGAGCAGAACTGCCCGGTACGGTTTTCTAGGTTGTAATCCTCACAGGAGCAGGTAGCCAGCTTTTTTTTCCAGTGGATTCAAACCACCAGCCTTTCAGTTAGCAGCTGAGTGCTTAACCATTGTGCCACCAGGGCTCCAGGCCTACAACTTTCTTGCTGTGTGACTTTGGGCAGGTCACCTCCTCTCTCTGGGTCTCCGGTATCCCCATGTGTGAAATAGGAAGGCAGGAGCTACGAGCCAAGGCACGTTCCATCCCCCACCTGTGGCTCTGCAGGAAAAATGAAGGATCGAAGCCCTAGGGCTGCGGGCTCTGGCGTGGCCTCCTCCTCTACCTCTGCTCCCCGCTGGCCTCTGTGTCCCTCCAGTCCCCGACTCTGCACGTGCTGGTCCCTGCCCCACTCACACCTGCTGGCCTCTCCCGTTTTTGCGCAAACGTTACCTTTCAGAGGCTCTTCCTGACCCCTTTTATCTGCCTCCTTCAATTATACTGTTACTGTACCATGTCCTTAGCCTTAAAAAAATGCCATTTTGAAATGTGGCAGGCACAGTTCTGAGCACTCCATGTGCTTGTTAACTCTTTCTGCTCAAAGAGCTTATGCTCTTAACTCCTTCTCTGCTCCCTCCCTTGCGTAATTAGACTTCCTTCTATTTGGCTCCCATCTGCCTCCCCGACTTGTATCTTCAGTGAGTTCAGGGGCCTTTCCTGTGTTGTTCATAGTATCCCCAGTGCCCAGGACAGTGCGGGGCTCAAATATTCCTATGTTGAAACAGTAGATACCTGAGCACCCGTCTTCACCGAGTTCTAAAGCCCATTACGCAACCCCTCCATCCGAGAGGTATCCGGCTTCTAGCACGGTGCTGACCTGTGAGAGACTCATGTGTTTGTTGAACGAATGAGTGATGTGTGGACATGTAACCCATTTGGTGTACCATTTACTGGAGGAAATATTTGCACACCGACAGAGAGCAAGGGGCCAAATGACCCTTCTGAGCAACTCTGGGGCTGGCCAGTGTCCTGACCCTTGCCCTGACCTCCAGCCCCTCTTGCGTGGAGAGAGGTGTGTGGGTCCCCGGTTCTCAGGCTCCAGCCCCGACTTCCTGTGCTGGCTGAGGCCGGGCAGGAAGGGAAGAGTGAGAAAAGCCCCTTGAATGACACAGAGCTGTTTCCGATGGTCTCCCACGCTGGGGTCGGCCTCTGCGGGGGCAGAGGCGGGGGCCCTGGGCCAGCTCCTCACAGGCCTTCCCTGCCTCATTCATTCCCAAGGAGACCGTGGGAAGCTTGGAGGAAGCTGGCCACGGTTGGGGTGAGCTATTTTTGGTAACAGGGTCCCTCATCTCAGGCTCCCGGGGCCAGGGTGACTGGGAGGGGGCTGTTTGCATTTCCTCCAGCCCCCCTCAGCTCTCCGGCCTGGGCCCAGGGAGACCTGGCCACCCGCCCTCGCCCACAGGGTGAACGCTTCTTCCCTCCCCGGGGCCCGTTTCCATGAAGCCTTCCTGCTGGCAGTCCCAGCGCCACTGGAGGCCGAGAGGGGCACACTCGGCCCTCTCGGAGGACTGTGCCCCAGAGCTTGGCACAGGCCCCTCGCCAGCCCTGGCAGGCAGTGTCAGGAGGTGGCAGGAAGACTCGGAATCCTTCGGTTTGCATGGTGCTTTGCAGCAGGCCCATTTCTTCCATGTGGATTCAGCTATTATGCAGCAGCCCCGCCTGAGTACAAGCAAGAAATATGGTTCAGAGGGGCTGGGGCTCCCTGGGGCCATGCAGCTCCTGTGTGCCAGGGCCAGACCAGACACCAGCATGGTGCCCCTCACCTGAGGGCCTCCTTTGGGACACCGGCAGAGACCAGAGAGTGCCACCGCCTAGAACCCCCATAGCTGTGGGAGCAGGGGCCTGGGCTGAGCCCGGATGGACACTTAGGAGGAGGGAAACTGAGGCCAGAGTGGACACCAGGCCCATCCTCTGCCTCCAGGTGCCCTCCCCGAGGTGTAGGCTGGGGCTCATCCTGCTGTCCATATGCTGGCCCCCAGGGCTTCTGAGGGGAAGACCCACCTGCTCCTGCCCTTGAGGGCTTCCAGGCGGGTGGGCGGCAGAACTTCCCCATCTGGAGTCTGCGCTGGCAGATCCTCATTGCCAGCGGGGACCCTGGTGGCTCAGTGCCATCTCTTGCCTCCCACAGAGCACACAGGCCCACGAGAACTGCAGGACCAGCCGGCTGGTGTGGACAGGCACCCAGGAGCACCTCATGTCCACAGGGGCCAACCAGGTAGGGCTCCCACAGTTGGGGGGGCATGTCTAGCCCTGAGTGGGCTCCAGCCCCAGTGTGGGTGGCGAGGGCCATGGAAGGCAGGGGTAGGCGGCCAGTTCCAGGCCTGTCCATATACGGGCCCCAGGCATGCAGCTGGATCTCAGAGCCCCAGGGGACTGATGGCTGCTGCAAACGGGCACATTCCATCTACAGTAGCTCAGCCTGACCCTGGGAACCGTGGCAGCCCCACAGGGACCAGAGTCCATGGAGGGAACCGCCCCTCGTCCCTTTTCACCTTAGGGCTTTTAAAGGGGCAGAGTGTCATAACCCAAACTCACCCCCCCAACACACATCCTCCAGGCCCTACTCTGGGGTCAGCGCTCTGTGCCAGGCTCTGCACCTCTGACTCTGGACTCCCCAGGGGTTCTGGCTGGGGGAGGGTAGGCCCGCCCGAGTCCCTCCCAGAACCCCTCTCTGCACCCCTTTGTCCCCCCCTGCAGATGCGGGAACGTGAAGTGAAGCTCTGGGACACCCGGCACCTCTCCAGCGCCTTGGCCTCCCTGACCCTGGATACCTCACCTGGGTAGGAGCACCCCGTGTGCTGGGGCCGGGCTGGGAGGGCCCCGGCGGTGTCCCTGGGTCCAGGCTGTCACCTAGGGTCTCGGTCTCGGGGTGTGCAGGGTGTGCCTGAACCAGGAGCCGGCACCCTGGTCCAGCGCCCAATGAGTACGGGTAGTGAGGCCACTCACATGGGCAGGTGAGCCCAGCTAACCGTGCATCCCTCCTGGCCCCACGTGGTCTAGGGGGTAGGTTTCACATCCCGTGGACCCACGCTGGGCCGCCAAGGCTGGTGTGTGGTGCATGTTGGCATTTGGGGAGGGGGCTGCGGCCTGGGAGACGTGCTGCGGGAGGCATGGGTGCACACTTGACAGAGATGCAGTGCTGGTGGGGCTGAGGATCCGGAGAGGCCAAGGCGAAGCTGGCAGGGTGGGCGTGGGGCACGTGTGGAGGGGCATGAGTGGCAGATGGGGAAGGCCTTGGACTCCGCCCGTATTTCTGAGGCCTCCACAGTACCGCCTCACGTCTGTATGTCTCTGATCTGTCACGGGTGAGGCAGCAGCCACCAGCCTGGGGGTGGAGCCAAGTGCACCTCATCCCTCTGCCTCCCCCTCCCAGGAAGTATGTGGATGAGGGTTTGTGGACGTGCTTGGTGAGTTCCTGGGAGCACATCCTGTCGCCCTGTGAGCTGGGGAGCACGTCCCCATGTGGACCCAAAACACTCATCCCTCTGTAGGCCTGGGAACACGTACCCATATGGACCTGGAGCACTGACCCGTCCCCTTGTAGGCCTGGGAACACTGACTTGTCTCTGTGTGGGTCAGGGAGCATGTTGCCGTGTGGACCCGGAGCAGTGACTCATTCCCTTGTGGGTCTGGGAACACTGACCCATCCCCATGTAGGCTGGAGAGCAAGCACATCCCTATATGAACCCAGGGCACTGGCCTGTCCCTATCTGGACCTGGGGCTCTGACCCATCCCCATGTGGGCCTGGAGCACTGACCCATCCCCATGTGGGTCTGGAGCACTGACCCATCCCCGTGTAGGCTGGGGAGCACATCCTCATATGAACCCAGGTCACTGGCCTGTCCCCGTCTGGACCTGGGGCACTGACCCATTCCCGTGTGGGCCTGGGAGCATTGACCCGTCTGCATATGGACCTGGAGTACTGACCTGTCCCTTTGTAGGCCAGGGAGCACATCCGCATATGGACCCGGGGCACTGGCCTGTCCTCATGTGGGCTGGGGAGCACATCCCCAGATGGACTGGGAGCACTAGCTTATCCCTGTGTGAGCCTGGAAGCATTAGCTCATCCCCATGTGGACTCGGGAGCACATCCCCTCTTGGGCCTAGGAGCACCAGTCCATCCCAGTGTGGACCCAGGGATACTGGCGCATCCCTCCGTGGGCCTGTGAGCACAGCCCAGCCCTAGCCAGCCCAGCCATCTCAGGATCCAGACACGAGCAGGCCCACAGCCAGCACTTGCAGAGGGCCAGGCCCCAGTGACCCGTCCATTCCGTCCGCTCAGTCACTCACATTACAGCTAAGGAAACCAGGCTCGGGGGGGCTCGGGGACTTGCCGAGCCTGGGGGGCAGGGTGGAAGTAGGACTTGGTCCCCATTCTGTCTGACACCACAGCCCGCCTCGGCCGTGACTCAGGGAAGGGCCGGCACGGGGCTTTCCCAGGCTGGGTACTTGGGATCTGGGAATGTTAGAGCCAGGAAAGGCCTGGGTGGCTTGCTGGCCCGGCCCCTCCCCCTTCCATTTCACAACTGAGGAAACTGAGTCATGGAGGGAGTTGGGACCTGTCCACGCTCCAGGAGCAGCAAGGGCAGTATGTCTGGGGGCAGGCAGGGCCAGAGGGTCTTCTTAGGACCCCTCAGAAGAAACCTTCCTGTATGCCTATCATTGCTCCTGCTAGAGGGAATGAGGCTGAGAGCACCCCAGAAATGGGATAACCGTCAGGAAGACTGTGGTCCCCCTCCCTTCCTCTCTCACGCGACCCCGGAGGGCTGGGAAGCTGAGGAGGCTCATTTTACAGATGAGTAAGCCGAGGCCGAGCACAGTGGTTCTGCGCCTGCTCCGCCAGGCCTGTGTGGCTGTGGGGTCCGTTTAGAGTGGAGTCTCAGCACCCACGCCTGCCCTGGAGGAGTCAGTCCTGGGGTTCTGGCTCCAAGTGCACTGTCCCTCTCTGTGTGCCCTAAGGCAGCACCACATCTTGGCCCCAAGCCGTCCTGGGCCCAGACAGCCCCTCCCACGGTGCCCCTCCAGTGCAGGCGAGCTGGGGAGAGCAGCCAGCCTAGAAAAGCATCCAGCACCGCAGTCAGCGCTCCCCCACCCACCACTTCCTGCCCTTGGGCTCTGCCCCGGCCTGTGCAGGGTCCCTCCTCCCCCGTTCAAAGAAGCCCAGCCCATCGTGGCCCCTGCAGGGGTTAATGTTGCGCAGACCCCAAGGTGCCACTGGCCAAGGCTGACCCTGCCATTTCAGTGGTTAAGAATAGCCTCGCAGGGCCAGCAAGGCTTAAAATTTCTCAAATCGCTCCCAGATGGGCGGCCAGGCCAGTGTCGTCCCCCCACCCCCAGCCCTGGCCCTGCCTCACCAGCCTGGCCCCTGGCAGAGGAGCTGGGATCCTCCGGCCCTCCACTAAGCTGGTGGGCACCAAGGGTGCGTGCCCACGTCCAGGCCAGCCTGAGCGGTGCCACGCCACCTGCCCCCCCCGACCCCGGGTCCCCGAGGCCAGAGCCCCTCCTTGGCCCCTGTGGTGTGGGGGACACTAGGGTGTGTGGACTGAAGAAGGGAAGTGTAACTGGGTGGGAATAGCCACTGGGGGACTGGCAGGCGCCTCCGTGTACTCCCCCCCTTTTACATATTTTCCATCTTGGTTTGGGCAGAGCAGACTGTGATGTACAAGAGCTATTGGGGGCCAGGGTCAGGATGCGCCCAGCCCTCTCCCCACTCTCTCCCAGGGAGACCCCATGTCCCCCACTCTCTGAGGGACCCCCCCGTTGACCCCTTTCACTTCCCACGAGGAGACAGGCTGCAGTGAGGAGCAGGCCGGGCACCAGGGCCCACCCCAGGGCATCGGGCTCCTGCTCTGGGAAGCAGGCCCTGGTGGCCAGCCCCACCTCGTATGCCAGGCCCGGTGCTGGGCGCGGGGACCAGAGGGTGGGCAGAGCTCACGCTCTAGGTGAGTGTCATAGATATGACATCTGTGCTTCTGGGCATTCATCTGGAGTGTTTGAGCGTGCGAGTGTGTGAAAGCGTGAGTATGTGAGAATGAGTGGATTGTGTGAGAGAGTGTGTGTATTAGTGTGCGAGAGGGTATGAGTGTATATGAACGTATGAGTGTGAGGGTGAATTGCATGAGTGTGCAAAGGATGTGGGTGTACGTGTGAGTTGTGAGTGACTTGTGAGAATGAGTGGGAGCGTGAGGTGTGTGTCTATGAATATGTGGGAGTGTGAGCAAGCGTGAAGAGTAAACGTGTATGTTTTATGGGTATGAGTGGATGGATGTGTACTTTGTGTGAGAGCAGGCATGAGCATAAACAGTGCGGGACACACGGTGAGCTGCCCAACAGTTGCTCCCCCGCCCTCTTCTCTCCCCAGGACGCAGGCAGGTGGAGATTTTTGTCCCCATTTTACAGAAAAGGCAGCTGAGGCCCAGAGAAGGCAGGTCTTTGTTAGGTCACCTGGCCCCCAGCCCATGCATTGCAGGTTGGAGGCTGAGATTGGGCCTCTGCTTAGCCCTGGGGTGTGCACTTCTGGCCATATCCCAGACCCAAGACCCTACTGTGTGCGGAGGTGCTCCTGGGGCCTGCCACCCTCCCTAGATCCCGCAAGCCCAAGCATGCCCTCCCTGCCTCACCAGAAGGTCCACAGATTTTGCTGCTCGTGGCTGCCTGTGCCCCTCTCCCTGAGGCCCAAGCCCTCCTGCCCAAGCCTGGCAGCCCCACTTGGGGCTGAGACCAGATGGTGGGGTCCTGTCCTCACCCTGGAGCGAGCTCCCGTGTCTTCTCCCCAAGCCGTCACTTCTCTCCGTAAGGGGGGCTGTCGAGTGAAATGAGCATACGTGCCGCCCGCAGGACCCAGGGCCCACGGTGGCTGGTGTCCCATGTCTGCCCTCCCTGGTCCCTAGGTGTTGAGATCATCCTGGCTTGGCCCCCCATGCAGCCCCTGATCTGATGAGACACCCCAATACCTTTTCTGGGAGGGCTGGCATGGTGTCTAGCGCTCTTTATTAGTGTCCCGTCACCTCACCCACCCTGTGCCATTCTACAAGGCAAGGCCTGGCCGTGCGGGGAAAACATACTCAGCAGCCACAGGCCTACAAAGCCCCTTTTGACAGGCGCCGGGGGTGGGGGGCAGCCCGCCGAGCTGCTCCCCTAATAGGACCCAGGTTTCTAGGAAATCTACCTGGACCGCCACTGCTGCCTCTGGAGGAAGGGACCCCACCCAGGCCCTCTGCCACCACCCACTGCCTGCTGTGACCCGTACCCGCCTCCTTGGCCGAGGGCCAGAGCCCTGAGAGCTGCTAATTGAATCCAGAGCTCGCGTGGCCCAGCAGGCTCTTGCTGACATCAACGCCCCCAGCCACAGAGCCTGTGCCCCGGGCTGGGCCGGGCCGCCACTCCCAGCCAAGCTGAGGCTGGGGCTGGGGCATGACCCCTGGAAGGGCCTGGGGCCTCCAGGATACTCACACCAGCCATTGCTGGGCCTTTCCGAGGCCCCAGGGCCACGTCACCTCCTTGAACCCTCCCCTGGTCTGAGGTAATAAGAAAAGGTGTTTTGTGTCCGTGCGCTGTCTCTAAGCTCTGGCACCCCATCCCTGGCTTGGCCCTGCCCCCACCTCAGCCTGTGGCCTTCCTGGAAAACACTCCCACTTTCGGGGTTTCTGGAAAGCCTGGGCACATCCCTGTGCAGCGGGTGAAGGGTCAGCATGGGGCCACCTGGCTGGCACCATCTGCAATGAGGCCTTTGGTCCCGTCTGCGAGCTGCCTGTCTCCAACAGTCCTGGGCTTGGCCCC